GGAGAAAGCAAAAACGTCCTGGATGGCCCACAGCATGGAAGAGAAGACGAAGACGGCCTTTTCACACTATAACGTGCCACTTTTTTTAGAATGGAGGACAGGGGCAGGATGTAGGAATTGTCACAATAAGTCTTAGAATGTTTGTTTGTTTGCTTTTAAAGCCCCATCTATTCCATTGGTGTCACTGAGCCAGTCTTGCTTTAGTTTCACAAGTGGAAGGTCCTTGAGAGACCACACCTTCTCTGCCCAGCGCTTTATCTCCTTCCCAGCATCACTGCCAAGCGATCTTGCACACTCTGCTTGAACATTTTCAGTGATGAGCTCACTGCCACACGCAGGGGAGCCCATGCAATCGCAGGGCAGTTCCGAGACTTAGAAATATGTAAAGCAAAGTCTCTCTCCAGACAGCATCTGCCTGTCAGTCCTCATGGAACTCATGGTGCTCACACAGAACATGTCTAATCTCTCCTTTACCTGGTAGTGCTCCAGGTACACCAGACTGTATGTCCCTGGAAAGTACCTTGTTTCTGGGACATGATTTCTGCCCCCCCCCCCCCCCCCCCCCCCCCGCTTCCCGTAGTTGCCTTCGCTGTGGATGCATTTGTATCTCTCCTTCTGTGCCCAACTGTCAGAGTTGCGTGCCCCACTCCAGGGATGGTGTGAGCAGCCCCGGGTCTATGCTTCATCAATAATGCAGGAACTGACATCATCTCCAAAACTCCTTGGTTTTCTATTATTTTCTGTTTACATTTGAGTGTCGTTAGGGGTGACCATGGTGTCACATCTTAATTCTTGCTTGGGGAATTTAATTTGGGGAACAATCAAGAGTCCATCAGAGCAAAATGCAGTAAGTGATGTGGCCATTCAACGAGGGCCAACGCATGATCTGACTGTAAGGCAACCCAAATTAAACACAGTTTGTGGAAATATGCTCCTCAGTAGGAACAGATTTATTTTAAAACTTCCATAACTGCGGCATGAAGGACCCAGGGAGAGAGATGAAAGCAAACGGCTGTTGAATGAATGAATGAATGAATGAATGAAAAGAATTTGTATCTGAATGAGGGAGGCCTCTGGTGGGGCAGAAATAATGGGAAGTCACCAGACCTGGAAGGAATTTCCCTGACATACTTCCTGGTATGTTTTGGGCAATCGCAGCAATAATGCAATAAGCACACAGTCTTCCAAGGAAGCCACCTTTCCTATGTCTACTCTTTTGACATTACTTTTAAGAGAGGAAAAAAAATCAGCCACAAATTCTTCACTGGTACAGCCCGTAGATTCCTCGCACAGGGTCCAGCAGTCCCTGCGGGCCAGCATATCCTTCTTGCTTTCAGAGCTGAGAAAACAGAAGCAGAGATAGATGAAGGCACTTGCCTGAGGTCACCTAAGTCCAGCCCCCAGGGACAGAACGGAGCCTTGGCAGGAAGGACCCCACACACTGAGGGCTCGGCTCGAAGGAAAGACTTAATGCCTGCAGAGGGCGGCATTGACCTGCTTGGTCCCAAATTGATGTTCCTTTACTCAGATCCTGGGCAGCCTGAGCGTTTTGACGGCTCTCCAATTCCCTACCCCTTTATAGTTCAATCTTCCCTGGCCAGCAAATTATTTACTCAGAATCTTATTTGCATTTGCAGAGGAAGCAGCAAGTGGAGAACCTGGCAGGAGCCTTAATGAAGCCAGGTGGGACACATTGAAACAGGAACGTGTTGAACTAACTCACCGAGAGCTGAGGCCAGCTGTCAGCGGGCTTAATGAAAGGTTAACAGGAACACGGCGATGAGTGGCTGGGGAGGCTCTCTGTCTCTCTAAAGAAAACAAAAAGTTGAGAAGTGGGCTCCCCAGGTGGAGGCAAGAGCAGAAGGAGGAAGCCACTGAATCTGAAATAGAGTTTCATTTAGATTTGTGAACAAGTTACAGTCCAAAGAAAGAAAGAAAGAAAGAAAGAAAGGAAGAAAGAAAGAAAGAAAGAAAGAAAGAAAGAAAGAAAGAAAGAAAGAAAGAAAGAGCACTGTGGGTTCTCAGCTCTCTGAGATTCAAAGGACCAAGAGGGGACCTGTTCTGGAATGAGATGAATGCTAATGCTGTTAGGAAAGCGCTTGGGGAGACTGGAGCCGGCTGCTCACACAAGGTGTTTTCACTTTCTGAGCTGAAAAGGTGGTGTTTTGCCATCCTGGGCTTTATCCGTGTTGCATATGGAGTGGGTGGACCGGGGAGTAGGAAAGACATCTTTCATTTTGTTTAGCTGGTGAAACTGAGGGCCAAACAGGGGGAATGAGTTACCCCCAGCGATAAGGAAACAGTGCCAGAGCAGAGGGCTTGTCCAGGTACCCTAGGGCCTAGGCTTAGCTCTGCAGCCCGGGGATATGCTTGTTCTTGGATTTTCCTACGTCCACCTGGCTCTGCCCGATTATTTACCCTTCCAAGGTCATATCCAGTAGGTTCCTGTTGGTACATGCAACTCAGCATTTCTTTCCTTGAACCGTCTTTGCCAGCACATACTTGACCCCTGGTGGACTGCCACTCCCAGAAAGAGGAATTAAAATGAGGAAGTTCAAAACTTGGCTCTTCTGTTGCTTTTTAAAAAACACCATCCTAATTAGGGTGACCACTTGTCCTTGTTTGAAACCTCAAAGTTCCTCTTACATGCTGGGAACTCCCTCAGTCCTGGGCCAGCTGGGATGGTTGGTGAATGTAAGTCCACAACTAAACTCAATCAAAAGCAGCAACCTTCAGGTTCTTTGGTTCACAGCCCCTGCTCTGAACTCTATCGCGATGATCATTGTGTACATGTGCGTGGCTTTGAGTTGGACTCAAGTAGAGTTTAATTCATACAGATCCACCATTAGAATAGATTGCTACATCTAGATTCTAGATCTTGGCTATTCAAAATGTGGGCTCAGCCCTGACCGGTTTGGCTCAGTGGATAGAGCGTCAGCCTGTGAACTGAAGGGTCCCAGGTTTGATTCCAGTCAAGGGCATGTACCTTGGTTGCGGGCACATCCCCAGTAGGGAGTGTGCAGGAGGCAGGTGAATCGATGTTTCTCTCTCATCAATGTTTCTAACTCTCTATCCCTCTCCCTTCCTCTCTGTAAAAAATCAATAAAATATATTAAAAA